AGGTTCATGTTCTTCATAATATGAACAGACCAAAGGACAAACAAATTTCTGCTTATCTTGACAAGCAACTGAGACATTAGATAAAAACAAACCAATATACCGATAAGGAAATAAAGACCTATTGTGAGCTTCTCTGGGGATTTTACAGAACTCAGTTTATGTGACATACCCAGATTAGTTGACAGATAAGCTGAACTTTCGGTTTTGTGGAGTAAAGAAAGTAGCCATGCTGTAGCAAGCAGCTCCAGTTTGATTTCTTCAGAGGTATTCAGTGCATACATGCGATATTGATGAGCCTCCAGTGGACTCTACAGATTTTACACAATATTACATTATATAGTTATATATTTTTAAATTATAAAACATTATAGCATAATGCAATGACTACTTAAATGTACTATATGTATGTATTCTCATCTCATGTCATATATGCATTCCAAAGTGTTTTTTATTTTATTGTATTTATTAATTTATTTTTAATTTTGTTGCAGTGGGATGTATTGTATTACAATGAATGTGACAGCTAAATCTAAACAACATATACAGCCATTTTATCTTATACATATTAGTTAAATACATTATTATTCAGTAATTTATATATTCATCATCAAACAAGCCATATAATTATTGTTCACTGTAATTAAAACTGATTAAAGATGAAAAGGTAAGGACTGCTGGACTATGTGGAGTGGAGGCAAAAGTTAGGCCTCAACTGTGAATTTAGTGTCTGTTGCGTACATGGTGCATAATAAAGTCTCCAACTAACTCAAGGATACAAACTCAGAAGACAATGGGTTTTACAGTAAAAGATGATGATAATTGACATTTAAATATTAGTTTTTTTTCCTATGCAAAAGTAACCGTGCTCGAAAATTGATGACAATTTGGTGTGATGTTCAAAGTTAATATAACCGGTTGTCAAAGTCTGATTGGTGTCTAACATTTTTCAAATAGAATTAACAGTTGTTTAATCAACAATATTGAGGAATATAAGATATGGCTTTCATTTAATTTCATCAAGGCTAATGTCTTGGTATAGAGATATGACTAATTTCGGCCGTCTATTCATTACTGTGGTTGACAATTATCACAGTGTGATATAGATTTTAATAATATCACTGACATCTAAGTAGTTTAAAAAGAACACTCATGGAACACTTCAAATAGGAAACTTAATAATTTTATCACATTTTACCAAGAATCTTCCGCAGCTTACACTCTTAAAAATAAAAGTGCTTCAAAAGGTTCTTCAAGCGATGCCATAGAAGAACCATTTTTGGTTCCACAAAGAACCATTCAGTCAAAGGTTCTTTAAAGAACCATCTCTTTCTTACCTTTTTATAATCTGAAGAACTTTCTTTCACCACAAAGAAGCTTTTGTGAAACAGAAAGGTTCTTCAGATGTTAAAGGTTCTTTATGGAACCATTTAGACAAAAAGGTTCTTCTATGGCATCGTGAAGCACCTTTATTTTTAAGAGTGTAAGTATGAATCCTTTTAACATCGATCAAGATTGAAGTCTTAGAAGTGTAGAAGTTCTCAAATCTCTTGAAAATATCCGCTTTAAATAATATGCCTTTCAGTGTGTTGCCAGTAAAAACAACATTGATAAAGCCAGACTGCAAGCAATTCCATGTTGTGGTACTGATTACTCAAACTGTGTATTTGTGAAAAAAGTATGTTCACATGCAGATTCTTAAACCGACCTTTATTATCTTCTAATGCTCAGTTACAGACATTAATTTCTACCTCAAACGTTGATATACTTTTCCACAATTATCAGTTCAAATTAAAGTTTTGACATGACATTACATGAACAGTTTTGTGGATGAATTTATTACTCATTTTATTTATTTACTAATTGAATTAAAACATTTCAAGCGATACTGCTTATAATGATGACACAAATTACAATTATTTTAAATACAATTTATTCAATGGATTTGATCAGTTTTGTACCACATCTTGATTGTGTTTTCTAACAATTTCACCGCTGTAGCTCAGTTCTGAACTAATGGCTTCACAGCACCTCCTACTACTCCTAATCAATGCAGAGCAGGAGCATATTGACATTCTAGTCTCTTTTTGTCAATAAACATCAGAAACACAAATCATAAACACTTAGAATACAAATTCTCCTACAGCTTCTCCATGACTGCTTCTGCTCCTGACCGTATTATTTTATAAACTGCTACAGCTACTACTACTACTGCTATAATTATTAATAGTCCAGCTGCTGCTTTAATTGCTTCTACTTTACTTACTTCTGCTACTACCACAGCTAGCACTGCTACTATTACTGAAGCTATTGCTTTTTTTACTGCTTTCCAGCAGTTACGACTTGCCTGGGCTTTACAGTACATTGCATTAGTGTAGTGCTTCCCTTCATTTCTAAGCGCCATTTGATCCATCTTCAACAGCAGCTCATTGACTTGAGCTTTATTCTTTTTGTCCTCATTGTTGACTGCATGATATCTGCCACCACAGCTGATTATTAGCTGTCGTAGATCTGGACTGTCTTCTATGTGATCTTTCAGTGGTCTATTCCTCAGTGCATCTGCGTGAGTGAACAGAACGATGGTGTGACGAGCAGCTTCTTCTCCAAAGTTCTTCTGAATCCATTTCACTGTCTTCATCTTTTCCTCTGTGTATTTTTCGTCCAGTCGGATGACCAGCAGGAACACATGAGGACCAGGAGAGGACATGCCCATACACTTCTCTATTTCAGCCTGAACTTCATTGTCCTTTCTTTTTGAATCCTGCAGGCCTGGAGTGTCGATTATTGATATGCTTCTTCTACCTTTTCCTGTCTGTTTTTCCTCAGATTGTTGAGTGACTGACTCTGGATTGAAATCCACTTCAAACGCATCTCTGCCCAGGATGGTGTTTCCGGTTGCGCTCTTTCCAACTCCAGTCATTCCCAACAAAACAATCCTCAGATCTCCTGAAGTTAGAGAGACAGAGATTTTCACATTAATAACACACTTGTCTTTTTGTGATCAGTTGTGTGATTTTCACCTGACGAGAAGATAAAACTGGTGAACAGTCCCATCGACTTCAACTGAAGCTCAGACCGGAGTCATATCTACAGTCTCGTTTGACCAGTAATGACTGATGCCAAGATTAAGAGCTTTTATTCAGTATTTTTTACTAACTCTTTTTATTTTATTTATGTCTTTCAATGATGTTTGATCGTTCATATTCTCAGCGGATTCACTTCTAAGATTTGCTAGAGCTGTATAACAGTTCAGCTTGTGCTGATTGTTAAAGTGCTTTTAAAAACGTGACTTCTCTTTCATAACTAACTTATCAGTTTCTCAAATGGTTGAGTGTCATGTGGCCCCTGTAGTTTTCCAATCCATTTAACATTGTTTTGGTCCAATTTTGTCATTTTTAGCAATGCAATAGCTTTGTGCAGTCTATATTATACTATTAATGTTCGATTATCAGATTAATACTCGCCTGTAATTATCGGTTCCATTTTTCTATAAATCCTCTTTTTCTGTGTTCAGTGCTCAGCAGACACGTTTATTTGCAGTGCTCACCGCTTTCCTTCTCTTTCTTGATCTGATGAAAGACAGATGAAAGGACTGGCAGACTGAGAGTGCTCAGGTTAACTCCCCTTATCTGAAAATATGATCACATGACTGCAGTTTCTTCTGTTTGAATTTAGCTTTTCAGAGATATTGTCATTATTAATATTATGTTCTTAAATAATAATACTAATACATCTCTGTCACTCTAAATATAAAGTTTCAATTTACTTAGAAATTTTACTTATAACTTGTTTAATATGTTAGTACATTTAAAAGTTTCATAAAAAGTAACATAAATCAGGTAATGCTTTAAACTCAATTATGTTTAAAACATTTAGTTTACTGCTAATTAAAAGTGAATTGTGGTTTTAATCAAATTGCTTACAAACATGTGCAGTCATTTGTGTGTGTGTGTTTGGATCTCATTTTCAGAGTATAGCAACACATGTGTTATATTGTTGTATTTGCTCTAATGCTTGTTCTCCGTAGTGCAGATATATTGCAGCCTAATAGCTGTAAAACATCCCCACCTAGAGTTCATGTTGAATATCTCCACCAACAGACTTATTTTATCTGATTACATGAAGAAAAACTATTTTTATCAAAGCCAGTAAAAAAACATTACAGTGCTATAAATGTCCAATTTGACAGGGCAGCAGACTTTCAGGTCATTAGCTAACCGAGACAGAGAAAAGTCTATTATCTGGATACCAGAATGACTGTTTTACATCAAATGCAGCATACATTTAAAGATACTGTTTCTAAAACATCTAAGAAGTCGGTTGGAAATTAAAACTCTTCCAATAATCCTTTGGCAAACAAGTAAAAAGTATATCCAGATAGCAAGCAAGCATTGAAAGTTGATGCATTAAGTCAGTGTTGATGCATCAATATTAATTACATTGTATTAATGCTACAAAGTGACGTTCCATATCACTTTTGCACCCGCAATTAATGTTGAAACAATGTTGAATTTTCCACAAAAAAAAAAAAAGCCAATGCCATTAAATCGACGTTACACTGTGATGTTGATTCTAAATCACTTTTGTTGAAACATTGAAAATACAACTGAAATGATGTTGCCATCTGATGTGCAAAGTCAATGTATAAAACATTAATATTTCGACTACACTTCAATGGGACATCAACAAATTCCTGACCATTTCAAAGTTTGTGGAAAACCTTTTAAAAGGAAAATGAATAAATGAAATGAATGCGGACACTAGATGATTCGACCAGACCACGAGAACACACTCTTGTTGATTGAAAAGGCCAAGTATAAGAAGACCTTTATCCCAACTTCCATTAGTATTTCAAATAGGATCTTAAGATGATTATTGTTATTATTTTGTTGTGATTATTAATTGTATTGTTTGTTGGTTGAGCCTTAAAGACAATTTTCTACCCCATTGTAGATAGACAATAAAGCTTTTTGAATTTGAATTGTAGAAACAAGAGGCTCGTTTGAGATGAGCAAAATCTGCGCAGAGCCGATCACCGGTGATGACCGCAAGATGCATGCCGGTTAGAAATGTGTCCGAGGGCAGGAGATGGTCCTCACTGCAGAACACAAGATCCAGGGGGCGTGGTTGCATCCAGATCCAACTCCTCCCACCTTACATACAGAGACAGAGCGACACGCGTCATAATCTGAAGACCACGCCCACACCAGGGGGGAAACAATCCAACGCTCTCCATTGAGTTTCTCTTGTGGGAAGCTGCCTTCTTTTCATTTCTGACTTATAACAAAAACAGAGCAATGCCTAAAAGCTGCTATGTTACAAGGTGGACAGTAAACAAGCTAAAAAACACAGAACTACGTTTTTATAAGCTGTCGACCCAAAAAATAAGCGTTTAGGACACAAAAGTAGAGCGCATCATGTCATATTACACTGAGAACTGCGCCCACTGGAGCCGATCCTCCCTATACACAAAATACGCAAGCTGCATAGGGTCCCCAAAACACCAGGGGGCCCCCTTGCTCTCAAAGATTATTTACTTTTAGTTTCGTTTTTTAATTTGGGCAGCGGTTATGAAATCATGAATGATCATTTCTTTCAATGCAGTGCGCTGTTGCCCTTTCTACGTAAAAAATCAGTCACATCATGTAATGTGAATGTTGTACAGTCTTGCTCGAGACTAAAAAAACGAGTTGAAAGCGTACCGAGCCGCGGAAGAGACACTGTTTCTCAAGCTCTTTCCGTGAGCGTGATTCGAGACGGAGTGAAACATGGACAAATGCGTTTCATTCATTCGTTCATAACCCCCCCGACACAGTTTTGCGTAGGGCCCCCAGAAGTCTAGGATCGGCAACAAGACCATTCATTATTTTTAGCCATGTCAAAGAATTATTTCACCACCCTATGTGAATCTGAGAGGAGGAGATATATTAAGAAACTAAATTGTATTGGTTTATATCAGTGCCCCTTTTCCTAACCTTCCTTTTGTTTGAGAAATGATCCGTGTCGACGTGAAATACCCCGACATCTACAACTATTTGTGTCCTAAACGCTCGTTTTTTGGGGGGTCGACACTGTATGGCGATGAAAACAGCAAATTCTTCACAGTGTTTATCAGGAACCTCAGCAGAGAGGATGATGGGGAATATAGATGTGGAAACAATCAGGAATGGAGTCATGTTGTTACATTAGAGGTGAACAGAAGTGCGTATGATACTTTATTACCTACTACATTAAGTATTATATTTTTATTATAGTACTGTTTAAAGGTGCACTACGGAAAAAACTTCAAACTGCCTCACTGCATTATAATATTTGACAACAGTATAATAATGATTTATAATTTGAGCTGAGAATGTTTATTTTTAATTTTTATGTTAGTCATATTTATGAGGTCACGTGTCGTCTGTAAACAGAAATAACACCCGTCTACTATGTATGACTCACTTGTTAAGATGACATTTCCCCCCCCTGGATACATGCCTTGATAGGATAACATTTCTCTCATGTTTTGATCACAGGCGACCATACAGTACACAGACCCAAAAAACAAGCACAACCTACATTAAAAAAAGGAATGTAATATTGAAATGTGTCAAACAGAGATGGCGATAGAGAGGCCAAAGTTCCCTAGTGCACCGTTAATAATACTAATAATAGTTCAAGATTTCAGTGTATGTTGCAATGATTTGTTGAAATCATTTTCAGCCTCTTCTTCTTGTGGGACGTCTGTTATCCGGACTGCATCTAAAGGACAAACAATCACTTTTCACTGTGAATATGATCATAAGTTTCAAACACACACCAAAGTCTTGTACAGAGTGAACGGAGATCCTGTCCATGTGCTGAACAGCTCACAATCATCACAATCATCTGAGGAGAAGTTCACCCTGTCTGACAGTCAGAAAGATCATTTTACTGTGAGCATCAGAAACATTTCTGCTGCAGATGCTGGAGTTTATTTATGTGGAGTGGAGAGATATGGACCTTCACACACTACTACTCACATAACCTTCATTAAAGAGATTCATCTGCATGTTTCTGGTGAGTTTAGCTTCATTTTAATGATAACATTTTAATGCTAAAAAAAAAGTTCAGCTACATGTGAACGGCGGTAAAAGACACTTTCATTTAAGGGATAGTAACAGAAAAAATAAAATAAAATAAAAATTTCCGACCTAAAAAGTAGCAATTAATTACTTGGTAACTTGCCAGTACTGAGCAGAGCTATCTTCTTAAAAAAAAAATATATATATACTGAATATTTTAAAGATTTTTCATTTTTTGGTGTACTGTCCCTTTAAAGCAGCATGCTGTGGTGAAGTCTGCAGAGTCGGTCTGATTAGTGTGATGGACATTTTCACACCAGCTTTAAACCACAGAGCACTTTTTGTGTTAAAGTAAAACAGAAAATAATGCTGGCTGCTGCTTTCGTGTTTTACTTTAGTAAAGTGCAGAAAGCAAGTGTTTTTTATATACAGATGTGTTTTAAAGTAGTCAGTTCAGCCAGAAATGACCTTCACTTTCCAGTCATTCCAGACCAGTTTGACTCGATGTTTTTTGAACATTAACACACACAGCTGTTCTCCATACATTGAAACCACACAATTGATCTACATTTCAATCTTTTTAGCTTTTCTACTCATTGCTCATTTTAAAGCTCTTCAGTTCTTGCACATATTCAGGTTTGACGCTGGTGAAGGCAAAAATCACGTTTACGTTTTCTTTTTGTGGTGTTTTTGTCATTTTTGGATCTTGATAGTCTCATAGTTATTCTCTGTTTTAAGTTTGCAGAAAACATCTTGTTTCACAGAAGAGCTGAGTAATTGAAGACAGTTTCTGACACCATCTCTGCCTCATGATTGAAATATGAATATTTGTAGATGAATGTCATGCACTCACCTTGTTTCTCTGTGACAATACCTTTGTGTGATTTTAGGTTTCTTCTGTCAGAAGCATGAAGTCTCTCAGTGATGCAATACAGCAACCTTCAGTTAGGACGAGATTCACTCTGATTACAGCATTAACCACATAATGCCAAACTAATATTACTGTACAATATTGTTGTTTTTGTTTTCATCTTCTCAGTAGTGCCATTTCTTGCTCTTCTGTAAATATCCGGTTTCAGAAATCAACAGTTAGATTTTTGATTTGATAAAAAACTTGTAATTTCACTGAAAAATAAGTGAAAACTGCAGGTCACTGCTGGCACAAAAGCTGAAATATTCCTCTAAGTGACTGTCTGTTTTGGTTGTACAGTAACTCTGCAAGGAAAGTGACACTTTATGTGTCAAACAGAGATGGCGATAGAGAGGCCAAAGTTCCCTAGTGCACCTTTAATAATACTAATAATAGTTCAAGATTTCAGTGCATGTCACATTGATTTGTTGAAATCATTTTCAGCCTCTTCTTCTTGTGGGACGTCTGTTATCCGGACTGCATCTAAAGGACAAACAATCACTTTTCACTGTGAATATGATCATAAGTTTCAAACACACACCAAAGTCTTGTACAGAGTGAACGGAGATCCTGTCCATGTGCTGAACAGCTCACAATCATCACAATCATCTGAGGAGAAGTTCACCCTGTCTGACAGTCAGAAAGATCATTTTACTGTGAGCATCAGAAACATTTCTGCAGCAGATGCTGGAGTTTATTTATGTGGAGTGGAGAGATATGGACCTTCACACACTACTACTCACATAACCTTCATTAAAGAGATTCATCTGCATGTTTCTGGTGAGTTTAGCTTCATTTTAATGATAACATTTTAATGCTAAAAAAAAAGTTCAGCTACATGTGAACGGTGGTAAAAGACACTTTCATTTAAGGGATAGTAACAGAAAAAATAAAATAAAATTAAAATTTCCGACCTAAAAAGTAGCAATTAATTACTTGGTAACTTGCCAGTACTGAGCAGAGCTATCTTTAAAAAAAAAATATATATATACTGAATATTTTAAAGATTTTTCATTTTTTGGTGTACTGTCCCTTTAAAGCAGCATGCTGTGGTGAAGTCTGCAGAGTCGGTCTGATTAGTGTGATGGACATTTTCACACCAGCTTTAAACCACAGAGCACTTTTTGTGTTAAAGTAAAACAGAAAATAATGCTGGCTGCTGCTTTCGTGTTTTACTTTAGTAAAGTGCAGAAAGCAAGTGTTTTTTATATACAGATGTGTTTTAAAGTAGTCAGTTCAGCCAGAAATGACCTTCACTTTCCAGTCATTCCAGACCAGTTTGACTCGATGTTTTTTGAACATTAACACACACAGCTGTTCTCCATACATTGAAAACACACAATTGATCTACATTTCAATCTTTTTAGCTTTTCTACTCATTGCTCATTTTAAAGCTCTTCAGTTCTTGCACATATTCAGGTTTGACGCTGGTGAAGGCAAAAATCACGTTTACGTTTTCTTTTTGTGGTGTTTTTGTCATTTTTGGATCTTGATAGTCTCATAGTTATTCTCTGTTTTAAGTTTGCAGAAAACATCTTGTTTCACAGAAGAGCTGAGTAATTGAAGACAGTTTCTGACACCATCTCTGCCTCATGATTGAAATATGAATATTTGTAGATGAATGTCATGCACTCACCTTGTTTCTCTGTGACAATACCTTTGTGTGATTTTAGGTTTCTTCTGTCAGAAGCATGAAGTCTCTCAGTGATGCAATACAGCAACCTTCAGTTAGGACGAGATTCACTCTGATTACAGCATTAACCACATAATGCCAAACTAATATTACTGTACAATATTGTTGTTTTTGTTTTCATCTTCTCAGTAGTGCCATTTCTTGCTCTTCTGTAAATATCCGGTTTCAGAAATCAACAGTTAGATTTTTGATTTGATAAAAAACTTGTAATTTCACTGAAAAATAAGTGAAAACTGCAGGTCACTGCTGGCACAAAAGCTGAAATATTCCTCTAAGTGACTGTCTGTTTTGGTTGTACAGAGTTCTAGAAAGAAAAACTTCGCCTTCTTGTGCTGAAATATGTGAGCAAGCTTCAATGTTTAAGTGTTTTAGTTTATTAACTAAATTTGTTTCTTTGATTTTGTAAGCATCAGTCTGCCAGAACAGAAACAATCAGTCAATAAAGCAGCTGTGAGCAAGAAACTATTTGCAGTGGTGGACATTTTCTCTTAATAAATGTACTTGATGTCATACATGTCAGTTTACTTTATTTATTTCACCAGAAAGTCCTACTGAAATTATTATTATTTTTTTTTCTTCTACAAGAGAGACCTGGCCAATGTAGCAGCCATTCAGATTAACAACAGGAATAACATAGCCTACATAATATACAAAATATATAACACACATTCACTAAGCTGTCTAAATGAGGACATTCCATAGACTTCTGTTTTTATATACGGCTATAAATACTATAACATAGTTATATAACCATATAAAATGTTTAAATGACCATATTAAAACCTTTATTTACTATACTTTTATACAAATTTTACAAATGAGGATGTCCCTAAAAGAGATTGTTATTTTCTTTTAGGTTTAACTCATCTTCTGGGTGCAAATTTGTCCCCAAAATATGGTTTAGTACACAAACATACACACAAATCATTCCAAACAATAAAGCATAGACTCATACGCGCATTAGATTATACGAAATATTAGAAAGGCAGATTAGTAAACACGCTATAACAATGCTGAGAAGATAAAGAAGAGGATTTCTTGTGTGAGTGTAAGTGCATCGGTTTAGGGTTGTTGGGTGGTTGAGTGTTTGCGGAAGATGTGCATCTTCAGCCAAGCTGGGGTTTGGCTCATTCGACCAAAGACGAACAGAGAGGCTGAAGGGTCTGGAAAATTAATTTGTGCCTTTTTGTGAAGAAACAACAAGGTGCCGCTTGTTCAGTGATCGTAACTGGTGGGAGGGAGCACACAGTAGCAGTAGTGAATTGAGGTAAGATGGTCAGTTTGGTTGTGCTAAAGGAGAAGAGAAGAGGACCAAAAACTGAACCTTGAGGCACCCCATTGATTAGCTTAAGTGATTCAGACTGTGATGTGATCTGTGTCTCTCCACATAAATTAACTCCACCATCCGCTGCAGAAATTATTCTAATGATCAGGTTATAAAAATCACTTGTATTGCTGATATAATTATGCTATTATATGAATTTAAGTCTGTGATATACAATGAAACAAAGTAAATGTATTGTGAAT